GGAGCCCAAGTGGGGTCAGGGGTTGGTGGAAATGAGGAACTTGAGCCCCAGGGAGCATCATTCACCAGCCTGACAATCTGACACCCTCCAGACCTATTGATTGGCTCCTGCTCAGAGCATTCACAAGCCTCGATTATGCTTTACTGTGTCCCTGCAGGGCACAATTTATTCCCCTTTCACAGATGGGAAACTGAGGACTGAAAAACAAAGGATGACTCTTGGCTGGAGATGAGTCTATCTCTAGAACTCTTGTCCTCCTCTTTCTGTTTGCATTTTTTTCTTGATTTTAAAGATAATAAAGATTTATTCTGAAAAAAAATCCAACAATTGAGAAATAAACAAGGTAGAATATGAAAGAACCTGGTAACCCTCCCGCCCAGAGGTAATCATGATCAACAGTTTGGAGTTTATCTTCCATGTTATGATTTCTCTGCCCATTGATGAATTTTTAAATAGTATCATAATTTTTTTAACTACTCATAGTTATATACTCTTTCAGATGATGTTCATAATCAATTTATCCAGTTCCCCTCTGCCAAGCTCTTTGGGATTTGATTTTAAAGGCATTAAATGTGTAAACCAAAGGAAATAACATTTTCCCAATATCAAGTCTTTCTTTCCATGAAAATGATAGTCTCCTTAGTTATCCAGGCTTCTTTAACATCCTTTAGTAAAGGTTTATATTTTTCTTCATATGTGCCTTAAACGGACCTTTTTAAGCTTATTCCAATGCATTTTATCATTAGTTTTGCTAATGAGAATGGAACTCTCTTTTTCTCTCAATTCAGTTTTCTATTCACTATGCCTGTGGCATAGGAGGGAACTATTCATTCATACATTTCACTGCTCTTGCCTTCTAAGATTTACAGCTTTAAAATTAACTGTCTTAGAATTTTTTAGCAAACACACATATCATTACAAACTGCAATGATTTTGCTCTTTCCTCCCAATATTTATATTTCTTATTTATTTTTCTTGTCTTACTGCATTTGTTAGAACCTCCAAAGCAATGCTGAATAATAGTGATACAAGAATCCATGTCTTATTTATGACTTCAGGAAGAAGTGTCTAGTTATATTCAATGGGTTCCTCCTTCTCTTTCAAAGCCCTTCCTCCTCCCTCAGGATTTTTAAATGCCCCCCTCCATTTCTCCCTCTATTAAAAAATCTCTAACTTTTCCTCGGGTCTTTGACAACAAGAATAAGTTAAACTGCCAGGCACGGTGGCACACGCCTGTAATGCTAGCCACTTGGGAGGCTGAGGCAGGAGGATTGCAAGTTCAAAGCCAGCCTCAGCAAAAGCGAGGTGCTTAACAACTCAGTGAGACTCTGTCTCTAAATAAAATACAAAATAGGGCTGGGGATGTGGCCCAGTGGTCAAGTGCCCCTGAGTTCAATACCTGGTACCAAAAAAAAAAGAGTTAAACCACTGCAATTTCTTTCCTTGAATAATGTGCATTTCCAGCATCTATAAAGAACTTACCCATGGAGAAAAAGGCACACTCATACACTGCTGGTAGGACTGCAAATTGGCGCAGCCAATATGGAAAGCAGTATGGAGATTTCTTGGAAAATTGGGAATGGAACCATCATTTAACCCAGCTATCCCTCTCCGTCTATAGCCAAAGGACTTAAAAACAGCATACTACAGGGACACAGCCACATTAATGTTTACAGCAGCACAATTCACAATAGCTAAACTGTGGAACCAACCTAGATGCCCTTCAATAGATGAATGGATACAAAAAATGTGGTATATATAAACACAATGGAATATTACTCAGCAATAAAAGAGAATATAATCATGGCATTTGCAGGTAAATGGATGGAGTTAGAAAAGATAATGCTAAGTGAAGTTAGCCAATCCCAAAAAAACAAATGCTGAATGTTTTCTCTGATATAAGGAGGCTGATTCATAGTGGGATGGGGAGGGGGAGCATGGGAGGAATAGATGAACTCTAGATAGGCAGAGGGGTGAAAGGGGAAGGGAGGGGCATGGGGTTAGAAATGATGGAGGAATGTGATGGACATTATTATCCAAAGTACATGTATGAAGACATGAATTGGTGTGAATATACTTTATATACAACCAGAGATATGAAAAATTGTGCTTTATATGTGTAATAAGAATCATAATACATTCTGCTGTCACATATAAATTTAAAAAATTTAAAGAAGAACTTACCCCTTACATAAATAAATAAAACACGAAATTCTGCCAAAGCATCAGCTGCTAAGGGGAGAGTTAGCTGCATTTGCAACATCCCTACAAAGAGAATCCACGGGACGGAGCACATTCTCACGATCATCTCATCTAATCCTCATAACAGAGTCTGCAGAGTAGTTATGACCATCTTTTTTCAGAAAAAAAAGTCTGTTTGAGAGGTCACAGAGTTAAGTGGCAGATGGAATTCTAAGCCAGGTTGTAAAGGAGAGACTCTCAGATGCCTGAGTGTGAGAATAGTGGTGATGGAGAATTTTAGCCCCAGGGGGGAAGAAGACAGAGTCCCCAGTGGGACACAGCATCCTTCCCTTCCTTAGAGTCCTTTGCAAAGCAAATGCTATGTCACCTAGAGCTTTGCTGAAACAGTGGCTGGGAAGGGGTGGCTGTGGACAGCTGGGCATGGCCTCTTCCTGGCTCCCCCAAATCTTCACACAGGCACTGGTGTGTGGGAAAGACAGACACTGCCCTGGAAAGGAAGGACTGGATTCTAGTCGCTGCTCTCTCTGTCGCCAAGTGTGACAGGGCAAGTTGCTCCCCTTGTTCCCTTCTCTGGTGTTGGTTCAACATCCATAAAATAAGGCTAACTACTTCGGCTGGGAAGGGGGAAAGATCCTTTTGCACACTAACAGTGTTTCTTATGAATTACCATCAAGCAAGGCAGGTGAATGTACACATTGATCTCCGTTCCCTCTTGCAACCCACTAAAAGATGTACAAAGGGATTTAAATAAAATAGATGACAGAGGAAGAGAGAGGAGATATCAGGGGACAAGGACATAAACATGCTTTGGGGAAGGATCAGCAGACCTGAGAAGGCCGCAGAGAAGACAACAAGAAGCTGGTACTCCTGCTACAAAACCCAGGGCAGGCCTAGGCACTGGAGGAACACAGGTACCAGATCAATAGGAGAGAGAGCAAGCTACACACGACCCCACCAATCCTTTGCCCCCTCTCAGGGACTGGAGGGTTAGTGCGTGGAGGGGTGCTTTGTGGCCTAGTGGAACTAGGCAGATGGGCACCACAGCAGGAATAGAGGGGTGAGGGGAGGTGCACAGACGGCAGGAGGCCACCCAGCCCTTCCCAGGCACCAGCAACCACACCTACCCCGACCCAGGATGGAGAAGTCTTTTCTAGTGGAACCAAATAGATCCAGAGAAAAGCCCTAAAAACATTAGAGTGAATGACCAGATCCCCAGCCAGGCTCCTGGTATTGTTAAGGTGCTGTCCTCTGACACTTGAACCAATGATGGAGGAAAAGGAACTTAGAGGAACAGGATCCAATGCAGGGAGCAGGACACACTGCGTACATGACACAGAACTGGGTGTTATTGAAAGAAAAAAAAAAAAAGAGCAACCCGCAAGAGCAAAAGATCTCCTGGAAATTAAAAAAAATATATGAGAGTCAAAATTTTAAAAGGCAAGAAGAGTAGGGTTGGAAAACAAAGACAAGGAAATTTTACCAGAAAGAAGTAGAACAGAAAAGGCAGAGATGGAAAATGAGAAGCCGTGCCTGATGGCACACACCTGTAATTTCAGCAGCTCGGGAGGCTGAGGCAGAAGGATCACAAGTTCAAAGCCGGCTTCAGCAATTTAGCAAAACCCCAGTCCCAAATAAAAAGGGATGGGAATGTGTCTCAGTGGTTAAGTCCCCAGAAGGGAAGGTGCTGAATTTCCAGATGGAGGACACCACTAAATACATAGCACAGTGGGTGAAAGCCGACCACACCGAGTCACATCACCATGGAATTCCAGAACTCAAGAGAAGGCCCTGGAAACTTCTAGAGAGGAGAAATGCAAGTCACAGAAAGCCAGAATGGCATCAGCCTTCTCCACAGCCATGCTGAAAATCAGGAATCAGGGAGGAAAGCCTTCAAAATCCCAGTTTAGGATTTTATTTTCATCCAAATTATAGATCAGCTGTTGGGAGTGGGAAAAATAAAGAACACTTTCAAGCATGCAGTCTGTCAGAAGAAAATCCTACCTTCCAAAGTTCTTTCTCAGGAACCCTCTGAAATAAGAGAGTGAATCAAGAAAGAGGAAGGCACAGGACTACTTTGATAAAAATAAAAGATTTTTTGAAATTGCACTCAACAGCTGTTCTTTTTTTTTTTTCCCCCCTGAGCAATCTGGTCCCCAGGATCTGGTCCCTGAGCCTCACAATTTCTAGAAAACAAAACACTGAATTCTAAAGTGCATGTTTATTCACATTTGAACATTTCTGAAATTGAGATTATATTGCAACAGATGGCCTCTTAGGCCAACACAACACATTTAATATTTACAAGCTCCTTTCTATTTTCCACGTCATTTCATGTACCTTTTCTTTCTTAGGTTTCACAACAACTTCCTGAAATGAGTTTAACAACCCCTTGGTGAGCACCAGGGAATTGAGACTCCGTGGGGTGGAGCTATCCAGGGCTGTGTGGGTCAGGGATAGAGGATTCAGTGTTGAGTAAGTACCTTTTCCTTACCAAAAGTTTTAGATCATCATCTCATTTGAGCCTCCTCAGCCACCTGCTCATTTGACAGTTGAAGGAAACGAGGCTCAAAGGAGTTAAGCAGCACGCCCCGACTCACACAGCCAGTAGTTGGCACGTAGGTGGTCACGATCTGAAGGTGACCGTCTCTGCACTGCCTCTGGTTTTGGCTGGCTTTAGAGGGAAGCAGTCATGATCCCATGGGAACCAAGCATGGGGAACCCCAGTCCATCCCAAGGTCTACCCTCCCCCTCCCCTCCCTCCCCTTGCCCCTCTCTCCTGCAGCTCCAGCTGCACTCACTGCATGATCCTGTCCCGGTTCAGATCTGAGAGGTAGCGCTTGGGTTCACCCATGTACAGGGACCGGTATCGCTGCCGTGTGTCCTTGTTCTCCAACCGCGTGGTATTGAGGTAGCGGCCCACCCCTACTGGGTTCTGTGCCAGGGAGAAGACGGCAGGACATTAGCAAGCCTGCCTCAGACACGTGATCTCAGGCCTCCTCCTCTCCCCTCTGACCCTGCCTACCCCAGCTGTTATGAGTTGGATCATGCCCCACCAGAAAAGATATGCTGAAGTCCTAACCCCAGTACCTTGGAATGTGACCTTTATGGGAATAGAGTGGTTTCAGATATAATGGGCTAAGATCATTGGCATAGGGTGGGACCCTGATCCAAGGTGTCGGCCACCCTCAGAGGCAGAGATTAGAGAGTTGCATTCACAAGGTGGGGAACACTGAGGATCCCAAGGATCGCTGCCAGGAGCTACAAAGAGGCAAAGAAGGACCCTCCCCTACAGGTTTCAGAGGGAGCGTGTTCCTGCTGACACTTGATCTAGGTCATCTAGCCTCCACAGCTGCTCTTTCTGAGAGCTCATTTCTGGTTGTGAAGCATATCTGCAGTGCTCTGTCCTGTAGTCCTAGGAAGCGCATCCACCATCCCACCCAGATATCTGCCTGCAGAGGTTCAGGCAGGAGACGAAATTTGCCAGGGTGACACAGCAAAGCAGAATAAAGGCAGGACAGGAATCTAGCCATCCACAGGCAGCAGTGCTGAGGGGAGACATGCAGACCCAGCGTCTAGACCAGTGTCCATGGACTGCCTCCCACAGGACCACAGGAGAGGTCTACTCAGGAACACAGGCTCCCTGCTGGGGGTCCTGTCCCATCACTGAAACCCATCACATGTCAGCCCTTCCTACTTCAGATGTTGACCTTGAGGTGGCAGTGTGGTCATTTGGCTCCAGTCTAAACATTTAAATTGGGGGACCCCAAAAGCTCAGGTTGGGGAGTACAGGGTAGGGAGGGGTGGAACCATAAGAAGGTGAGTAAATTATAAGTAAGATGTGCCCAGGGAGACTAGGACAGACCTTAAAAACAGTCGTTCAGGGGCTGGGGATGTGGCTTATTGGTAGAGCGCTCGCCTAGCATGGAGACCCTGGGTCCAATTCTCAGCATCACAGAAAAATAAATAAAATAAAGGTATTGTGTCCAACTACAATCGAAAAATAAAATATTAAAAAACAAAAACAGTCGTTCAAAGTCAGGCAGAACTCCCCTGTGCTACTGGAGTCAGGACAGGGCTACCCGAAGGGGACAGAATGTACAGGAGACCCTGGAATGCACAGAATGTGCTCTTGAATGCTCTGGGGGTTGGTCACAGGACAGGAATCCAGCCAACCACAGGCTGGTCACAGGGCAAAGGCATTCTTTGGAGTTGTTCACTTAGGATTCCTGTGTCTTTCTGTGCAATCATTAGTTGCCAATAAAAGGTGCACTTAAAAACTGAAGGGAGGGAGGGAGGAACAGAATGAGGTCAGGCCTTTGGCCATGTGTGTACATGTACATGAAGGAGGCATGTGCAAAGCCCAAGAACTGGCCTTTTTTACAAGAACACTGCAAGCTTATAGGTTCCATCACACACATGGGGAGGGCTGCCTCTGGGGACAAGGAAGAGAACAGGGTCAAGATGGGGGGACTTGCTGACCCAGGGATGAAAAATGGGCCAACTCCAGCAGCTGCCCCTGAGGCCACAAGACAAATACAAAGAGAAAATGAAAAAATCGTTTCCCTGGGAATGGGCCAGGGTGGTCTGAGATGGCTTAGCTAGCTGCTTCTCAAACTGTAGTCCCTGGAACAACTTCATCACCGTCATCTGAAAACTTGTTATAAATGCCAATGCTTGGGCCCTACCAGGCCTGCGGTGTCAGCCACCTTGGTCCTAACAAGCCTGCGATGGTGCTGCTACCTGGAGTTAGCCAAAGCCTGGGCAGAAGGACGACCGTGGGAGGGAGGGAGAGAGAGATGGCTTGCAGCTCCATCTGAGGATCGGTGCTCAGGGGCAAGGAGGGTTCAAGGATGCCTATAGAGGCAGGGGGTTCCCTGCCTGTCACACATATCCGCCACCCCAGGCCTACTCACCCAGCTTCCCAAAACTATCTGGTTGGTCTTTACACCTGAACGCTTAGAGGCCACGAGGAATGGCGGCCGGTTGACGTGTTTGATCTCCGTCTCTTGAGGAAGCCATGAACCAGGGCCAGATGTGTTCTAGGAGGAAGAAATGAAGGCCAAGCATTGAAGAGGTCCTGGCAGTACCCAGCCAGGGCAGGTGGGGGTTCCTGGCAGCAGTCTTACCTGCTCAGCAATGCTGGGCCTTGAGTCAAGGACAGGGGACACGAGGGGACCCTGTAGTGCCCTCATGACCCATGCATCCCACTTTAACCACCCCCAGCCTGACATCTCTTCTCAGGTTCCTGAGAGACCTCATGGTTGGGCAGGGTCCAGAGAGATACTCCAGACAGCAGCCTGGGGAGAGACAGCACACAGGCCCTGGAGCAGGGTGCCAGTCCAGCTCATTCCCACCCTACTGAGGGAATCCGGCAAATCCCTTCCAGCAAATCCCTTCCCAGGTCTGGGCCTCGGTTTCCTTTTATGAAACACAAATGCTGACCCCTGGGGGTGTGGTGGAAAATGGCCAGCAGGCCTTCAGAAGCTGCCTGTGCCTTGTTTTCCTCTGCCCATTCCACTCCAGGTCCATGCCCTTCTAGACAGACCCAGCTTGGGGGGCCTGAAGAAAGCCCAGGGCCTATGCAGAGCACTGACTGTCCCCCCCTTCAAGTCCCCTACCCCAGAGAACACTGCCTTGAACTAGGCTGAAACTGCTAGTCCCTGGATGGAGCAGGTGGGCAGACCTCTGAAGGTGGACCCCTTACAATCTGCCGGATCCAGTCTCCCCTTGCCCTCTCTCCAGCTCTGGAGGGCCAGTCGGGGAGGGCAGGGTGGATATCAACAGTGGCTGAGCATGACCAGGGAACCAGGCACTGCAGGCTCCAAGCTTCTAGAAAAATCTAATGCTCACAGCCGCCTCTCTGTCCTCAGAGGGCAGGTATATAATGAGGCTGGCAGAAGAAGAAAAGTGTAAGGCCAGGATTGGAAACCAGTGGGTCTGTCCCTAAAAATGAGCTTCTCGGGGGGCTGGGGTTATGGCTCAGCGGTAGAGCACTTGCTTTGCATGTGCAAGGCCCTGGGTTCGATCCTGAGCACCACATAAAAATAAATTTAAAAAAAAAGTTATTGTGTACAACTACAAAAAAATATAAAAATATTTTTTTAAAAAAATGAGCTTCTCCCCGCCACAAACAAGCCACCTCACCCCACCTCCCCAGCCCATAAGGGAGCTGCCTTTGGACACTGACTAGTTTTCGGGGGCACTGGCTAAGGGTGGACCAGTAAATTCTCTCTGGAGGGGTTTTCGGGTCGCGGGGAATTTCTGAAAAAACTCCATGCTTCTTATTGTGACGTGAGTTAAGTTCATCCACGAAGCTCTTGTAATTCATCAATTCCCTGGGCCTTTTTTTCTGAGAGAGAGAGAGAGAGAGAGAGAGAGAGAGAGAGATGTTATTGCAGAAAAGTCAAGAGCTCACCCTCTTCTTGGCCCTCACTCACCAGTAATCCAAGGTGTCATTCACTACCCCACTGGGACATCCCTGGGTCAAGCTATGCAAAGGCCAGGCCAGCCCCAAGGCCCACTATGGCCCCAGGTTGGGGTGGGGTCAGTCTTTTGCACCCTCCACCTCTGGGTTACACCCTGAGACCCAGCTTGCCTTTATCCATTCTTTCTTTCCCTGATTTATTGGACGTATATTGAGGCAGGCACTGGCCTAAGCAGGAACGATATTTTGAATATATAAAAACCAGTGTAACTGGCACAGAGCAGAGAATTTTTAGGGCCACAAAACTATGCTGTAGGATATGAAAACAGTGGATACACTCATGTGTGTCAAAACCCACAAAAAGAACACCACCAAGAGAGAGCCATCTTGCAAACTTTAGGCTTGGTTGACAAAGGTGTATCACTGTAGGTCCACTGATCATAACAAATGGACCACTCTGGCGCAGGATCTTGACAGGGGTGGGAGAGGCAGAAGATCCATAGGAACTCTACTTGCCACTCAATTTTGCTGTGAACCTAAAATTGCTCTATAAAGTAAAGTCTATGAGGACAGAACAAACAAGCACAGGCAGTGTGGCCTGGCACCTGCCAATCAGAGTCAACTGGCTGGCAGCATCAGCAGAGGGTCCCGGAAGCCCCTGTGGCAGGATGGTGGTTTCCATGACTGGTCAGTGAAGGTCTGAGGGATTCCAGGGGAGCAGCAGGTCTCAGGGCAGAGACTCTTAACCAAGGGGCCCAGACGTATTTCCACATTAACCACCACTCTTCTAGCTCTGACACCCTTTTTATGTGCTAACACTCCAAAATTTCTTTCCTAGTCATGGATGATTGTTTCTCTTTCATTAGGATATGGACTCCCCAGGGCTGGCCTCCCGCACCTAGACTGATAGTAGACAGGGGGTGAACATGCAGTGGAGGCTGTGTGAACAATGACTCAGTCCCAACTGCTGTGAGCACCAGGAAAGCAGAGCCCGGTGAGCTGTGGAATCCCGTGACAGGAGCGTGATGGGGGCAGGAAAGGTAGCAGCAAGCTGGAATCCTACCCCAGCTTCCCCTTCCCGCCTGTCAGTTCTCCGCCTCATTAGCAGAGCACTGGCACTAGCCCAGCCCCTGTGCTGGGTCTGTGAAGCCTGGGAAGCGCTTCTGAAATAGTGGGACACCCACACTTGTGTCTTCAAGAGCCCTGCAGGCCCCACAGCTAGTCACCCACACAACCCTGACATCATGGGTCACCTGAGCCCCAATGCAGCACCTGCTGGTGCAGAGAAGAGAACTGGCCACAGGATCAGACAGTCTACCGGGAGTCCAACTCCAGCTCTGCTGTGTGGCCAGCCTTAGTCTCCTCATTCAATACAGGAGCCATGTCCCTCCCTGGCTCTGGGGGTGAAGGGAGCAGGGTGTGGGAAGGGCACTGGGCAGCAGTCCTAGGAAAGGCGAGTAAGGGCTGTCATCTGCTGGGGAAGGAACCCTATGAGCTACCCAGGTACACACCTGCACAGAGTAATGTCCAAAAGGCAGGGGCTTGCTTCGGTCACCAGAGAAAATGTCATAGGGGCCGCGGGTGCCAGTAGATCGTGCCAGGTAGGTCTCGATGCCAGTTTTGAAGGAGTAGGTGCCAGGTCCTAAACCACTCCCCTAGAGCACAGCATTGTGACAGTGTCTGGTGGGGAGTCATGGGGGTAGGCCCTCTCAGGCCCTCAGTTTCCCCATCAACCCTGGGAACCCCCTCCAGAACCAAGTGAAAGAGCCTGTCCAGGCTGGGGGTACCTGAGGAGCCTCAGGTGGTGACTTGTTTGACATCCTGCACATGAGGCCCTCGGAATGGGACCGGTTCCAGGCATTCTCCTCCAGCCGCGTGTATGGGTTGCCCTTCTCCCCATAATTCCCGGGGCCTGGATAATAGTTCTGTGGGGCACAAAGTGGGGACATACAGGCCACCAGTCCTGCTCTCATTGTTGGTGCATCTGAGGAAAAGGCTTGTGAGATCTCCACCCCCACATGGGGAACAGGATTTTCAGGCTGCCCGAGTGTCCCCACCCCCAACGCACACCACACCACCCATGAGCCTCCACAGCTCACGCCTTCACCTCTAAGTCTGTCATCGTCACGAGGACCCGCTGTCCTGTCCAAGGCCTGCCTTACCATTTGCTTTCTACATGCCATGCTTCAGCCAGCGCCGCTCCTTGCTGCAGCCTGAGCACATGACATTCTGCCAAACCTCCCTGCCCTGGCTCGCTTGTGCCTCACGCCACCTCAAATGCCTGTCCTGCTCTCTTCACCTTGGGAAATTCTACTAATCCTGCAAAGCCAGCTGGAACATCATCTCTCCGGAGAATGAAGGCTTCCGTCCCCTGTCACCCCAGGGAGTTGCCTGCTTCGTGGTCTCAGCAGTTTCGTCCTTGGCACCCACACCTCCGTGAATGGCTTTCTCACTGTGTGGTGAACAGTGCCGGGGAACAGAAACAACTGGAGTCCTGGTTCAGATCCGGGCACAGCTGCTTCCTAGCTGAATGAGCTCAGGCTCCCTGAGCTTCACGGTGCATATTGATAACAAGGGAATGGCAATACCCTCCTCCAGGGTAATAACTACCAAGTTCAATAAGGTCTGAAAGTTCCCTGAACAGTGCCTGGCACATAGTGAGCACCCACTCACACATAAGCAGGGAAGAGTGACTGACAGTCCTAGGGGGCAGGAGGAGTTAAGAACTGTGACTGGAATGACTATGGGGCCTGGACTGCCAGGGTCAAAGGGTGGCCCTTTGTGGGGAGAATCTACCTGCAGTGTAGGGGAGGGGTGGGCATCCTTAGGTAGAGACCTGGCAGGACTTTTGCAGCCAGTCTGCACTTTTTAGCCACGTGGGGTCACTGCTGCTCCACAGATGGTTCAGCCCTGTCTACCTCTGGGTCCTGGAAGCTGGCCCTGGGGAAGCCAGGCTGGGCGGAGATATCAGGAACTTGGGGAGCTGAAGCCACTGTGGGCATCGGATTGTTTGTCTCCAGAAGAATGAGACTATACCTTGCCTCCCTCCAAAGCGCAGGTGCCCTGGTGTGTTCTAGAGAAAATCCCTAAGGGTAGGAAGGAAGCTGGGCCCCTAAATTGTGTGCTAGATGTATCGAAAGCCTTAGTAAGCCTTAGAAAGCCTTGTCCTGGTGGCCACCTGATGAGATCATGTCGACACCATCCACAGTTAACAGAAAGGGACCCTGAGTCTCAGAGAGGCAAGCCACATGTCCAGATTCCTCCCACATCCAGAACCAGGCAGCATGAGGGCTCCGGCTCTAAGACCCTGTCCTTCCTGAGCCCGTACTGTTTGCCTGGCACTGGGATGGGGTGGGGGCAGAGTGCACTACAAGTCCTGGGGGGGGGGTCCTGACTCAGGAGGTTCATGGATGGAGCTAAGCTCTGTGTTAGGTTTGTCAGCATAATCTCATTTCTTCCATAAGATCTTCAAGTTTAGAAGTTTTATATCACATTGGGCTGGTGTGAAAGCCTGATTTTTAACTAGAATGTGATGCTGTTCAGAGCTTTTAGGACCCAGGCAGGATTAATTGGAGAAGAGAGTTGAGGAATGAATGGTCACTAATAAGAAATATATGTAATATATATAAATATATGTAATTTACATTATATATGTATTTACATAACATAAAATTTTTAAAATTTATGTGTGTGTGTGTGTGTGTGTGTGTGTGTGTGTGTGTGTGTATAAATAAAATCTGGAGCTTGAAGAATGAGAAGGATCCCCAAAGAAAGGTATGGGAGAAAGTGGGAAGTTCCCCCAAGCAGAAGGAACAAACGCAGATTCTCCAGTGCTGGAGACACTCTCAGACTTGTCCCCCCAACTTCTCTGCTATCAGCTGGGTTGAACCCCACAGAGACTCTCTCCTGGACAGAAAAGGAACAAAATCCAAGAACTGAGGGAACCAAGCCACTGGGCTTTGTTAATATGATGGACACCTTGGATTCCAATTCTGCTACTGTCACCTAGTAGCTCTGTGACCTTTGAATGGTTTGATCACTCACCCTCTCTACTCCAGTTTTGTCACCTGTGAACACAATAGTGGTGCCTCCTTCATAGGGCTGTTGTGAGGATTAAATTAATTAGTACATGGCAAGTGCTGGCGGGTATCAGCTATTATTATTTGGATTGGAAGGCAGTGACTCACTTCAAAGGCCTCCAGGCACTCTGCTCTCTGGGGTGGGGTGGGGAGCTTCTGCACCTGGAAATGTATCCATTTGCTCTCTGTCCACTGGTCTAATTTGCCAAGTGTGCTGGCACCCGGGGACTTAGCCTCTGCTGTTCCCACTATCTGGAATGTTCTAACACAGATATCATAAGTCTCTATTGCTCATGCTCTTCAAGTTATGCTCAAATGGCACTTCCTCCCAGAGGCCTTTCCTCACTGTGTTCTATAAACTGCCCTGCTGGCACTCTCTAGCTCTTCCCTGTGTCATTTGTCCTCTTAGCCCCGATTAAACATGTACTTCCTTCTTTGAACTATTGTTTTTATCACTAGGATGTTTGCTCTACGAGGGCAGGAACCTTGTCTTTGTTGTTGTTGTTGTTATTATTATTATTATTATTATTATTGGTGTAGTTGGACACAATGCCTTTATTGATTTATTTTTATGTGGTGCTGAGGATTGAATCCAGGGCCTCACACATGCTAAGTGAATGCTCTACCGTTGAGCTTCAACCCCAGCCCCTTATCTTGGTTATTTCCAGATCCCCAAGGCCTAAGACAGCACTTAGTAGGCACTTACTGGTGATCTCCTGGTTGGCTGACTGGATACATAAATGGATGAATTCATTGAGCACCTAATATATGCTGGGTTATTTTCTTGGAACCTAAAAATGAACCAGACCCATCCCTGCTGAAATCGTGACAGCAAGTGGGCTGAAGATTGAGGCACAGGGAAGCAGAGGGTCTGTGGAGACTCAGGGGAGAGTCTGGCCAAGCCTGGGGAAGAGACAGGTACAAGGAAGGGCATTTCCAGAACCACCCAGGCTGCGTGGTCTGCCACAGACCGCATGGTGGGGTGGAAGGACTCCTCTGCAGATAGCCAAGAGGAGCTCAGAACACGTACCCCAATGAGACCACGGAAGCGGATCTCCCCAGAGCTAAGCAGCCCCCGCTTGCTGCCTGGCTTCTGCTGCAACTGTTGTAAGAAGTCTTTGAAGTTGTAAGAGCCAGGCCCCAGCTTTTGCTCCTGCACCAAAAGAAGGAAATGAGAGGAAAACTATAAACTAGGGAATGTCCACACAGGAAGGAGCCCAAGGGATGGTGTTGCTCCCTCAAGAATGAGCTCTGCCTGGCCCTGCTTCGAGCAGGAGAATCAGGAGACATGCCCCAGCGGGCACGGTGCAAAGCCCTCACCTGCAACTTCCTCTCTCTCACAACGGTCTGGTACCGGAAGTGGGGCAGCTGGGTCAGCCGGATGGCTTGCTGGGCCAGAGCCCAGCCTGTGTCCACCTCCTTCTTCAGCTTCTTTTTGCTGAAGCAGGTCTCCTTGGAGCTATAGGTTCCAGGTCCTATGTGGGACTGAGAGGGAGTGTGGTCAGAGTGGGATAGTCACATCCACCCAGGCCAACCCCAGAGCAAGTCCTCCCCAAGCTGCCCTGGACCTGTGATTGGGCCAGAGTAACAATCTGGCCCAATCACAGGTAAGTTATCCCCCAGCAGTAAGCCTGGCACCCAGAGGTCGGCCCTCAAGGAGCTCTCATGACCTCCTCTGTCCCTGGCCTTTTTCCATGGAGGGAGGTACAGTGAGTCCTTGAGAGCCTGCCACTGGACAGAACAGGAGCTAGGAAAGGAAGCCAGGTCACCTGTGGCCCCCAGCATGCGGTTTCACCTACCGTCCTGCATTTATCAAACACATCAGAAGCCTGACTCAGAGGCAGGCTCAGTGCTGGGGATGTGACACAGCTGACACAGCTCAGCTGCCACCAAGGTGGGCCTCACAGAGGAGCAATGGCCAGACCACGTGGGAGGCAGTGCTCACTCACCACTTCCACAGAATGATGCGTGGAGTACGGGGTCTCTGTGAAGGTGCTGTATTTCTTCTGGTTGGGATAAACAGCAGACACATCAAATCTAGGAGGGACAGAGGTCCAGTAAGAGCCCAAAGCCTGGCACCTGGCCCTGACCTGGGTGGTCCTCAGGATGGGAAGAATTGGCTTCCTAGAGAAGGTGACTTTGGAACCAGTCCATGAAGAACAGTTGTAGTGGCTTTGACCATCAGGGGTACTACTCCACCAGAACCATCCCACTCACACCCACCCTCTTGCTCCTTCTTCCAGCTTGGTGTTTCTCCAAAGCCCTTAGCACTCCCCAACATATCTATCCCCTACCACACCACACACACACACACACACACACACACACACACACGCACATTCCCACAAGAATGCAAACTCCTTAAGTGTACAGTTTACTGTTTTGCTCACTGCTGTAGCCACAGATCCTAGGATTGTGCAGGGCACATAGTAGGCCAGGCCTGTGGCCTTTCTAAACCTTGCAGAGAAGTTGCAGTGGTCATGTTTTTCAAGAACTTACTAAGGAAGTAGAAAAGAAAGAACAAAGGAAAGAAAAAGAAGCAAAGCTTAGGAAGGTGACAGCTTGAAAGAAGCTTAGGAAGGGAACAGCCTGGACCAGGAGGTGCTGCAGATGTGCAGGGGGGTGGGGAAGGCCAGCCCCCAGTGCCCACCTCTCCTGGGCTCTAGACCACCCGGGGGCCTCTGCCCCTCCCTCCCAGGGATAGTGGCTGCGACGTGCCCCTCGGGCCGCCTTTGGACATAGGTGCCAGCGCAGTATGCGGGTGGGCCCCACCTGTGGCTCTGCACCCCAAAGGGCGCCCCTTGGAACCACTTGGCCGCATACATGGCGCTGGCGTGGCCCGGGCCGCGAGTCCTGCGGGCGCCTGGCTTCCACTGCTGGCAGCGCCCCCCCGCGCCTGCTGGGCGGGCTGGCGGCCACCGCCGCTGCCACGGCAACCCGGCCTTGTGATCCGCGGAGCCCCGGCCGCGTCGGTGCCCGCGTGGCGCCCTGCCGTGGAGCCCGTGCCGCCTCCTGGCGGTTTCATTTTGAGTTTTTCGACACCCCCTGGCCACAGCACCGTCCTAGGCCCCTGCAGATATAGGAGACCCAGCTGGTGTTGAAAGAGGATGGCTGCCCCTGGGTGGGGCTTTAGAGTCACGCGCTGAGGAACTGTTTCTGATTTCTGCAGGGCTCCTCCAAGAGAGGCGCGAATGTTCAGAGTGCCGCCTGTAGTTGACCTCCTGCCGGCAGGACCCTGAACCCCGCCAGAGGGCAGACTAGGGCAAAGTGCACCCCGTGTTCCCCAAGTGGCTGAGGGAAGGAGGAGAAAGGGGACAGTCAGGGAGAGCGGAGCAGGGAGAGCAGGGGTAAGGCTGGACTGACAAGTGCAGGGATGCAGGGATGCTGGGTGATAAGGTACCTCCAGACACCCTGACAACCACTCTGGGCAGACACTGTGCAGAGTGCCCGGGACGCAAATGTGGTCCCTGCCCTGAGTCTAGTGGGGAAAACAACGACCACCCAGTATGGTCAGGCCAAAGAGAGAGGAAGGCCTCAGACCCAGCCTGTGGGTTGGCAGGTCAGGGAAGGCTTTTGGAGAAAATTCCAAACTTCACAATATTGAAGCATGTTTGACTTGTCAGTCCACAAAAAGTGTTAAGGGTGTGTCTACCCACAACAGGCACAGGTTAGCCCTCTCTTCCTTTCTCCTACCTCACCTCCCACCTGTGTCCCGTGATTGTGCTAAGAGATTGTCTATTATCTTCTCCATAATCACCTTTGAACCTCCCAAGGGCCTTAGGCAAGGACTTGGCAGAAATCTACACCCTATTCCAGGGTGACAAAAACAAAGCCCAAGAGAGGTAGGATGTGCATGCACCAGGTCCTGCATCCAGTCTCTGGCAAACTAAACGAGAGGCACAGTGGGTCTCCTTCCAGGCCCAAGCTGGTATTTAAATAAAGGTGGCCCTCAAGCACAGCCCACAGATGGACATTTGAGCTCCAGGCCTGGTGGGCACATGGCCACAGCTGGTAGAACTGCACTTCTAGGCTGATAGTTAGAGGCAACAGGCCTCAGGAATACACCCAAAACTGAGTCACCTGGGCTCAGCCTTTGCTCCTCCCCAGCAGTAGAACTTTAGGTAAGACACTTCCTTCTCTGTATTTCTGCATTCTTATCTGCAAAATGAAGCTGATAAATCTGTCTCTATAGGCTGCTATGAAAAATAAGTGACCTAATTTAGGTAACACTCCCAGTATACTGCAGGAGCTCAATAAGGTCATTCCCAGTTCTTGGAAAGAGATCTTGCAGAAGCCTCCATCTAACAGACAGACTATCTCATCCACTCCTGGCACAGTTCACATCACACAGTAAATGCTCAATAAATATCAGTTGAGTGACAAGTGAATGGATAAATGAACGTAGTCCAACTTCCCTGAAGCACACAAATCCTCAGCAACTGTCTGCTTCCTAGCTGGTGGCTTTAGGTAAAATACCCTCACCAAGCTTCAATTTCCTCACCTGGGACAGGTACACAGGGCTGGTGCTTCGTGGAGGAGCTGTTTGGAGGTGTCCAGGAGGTGTGTACACTGTCAAGCCCTGTGCACTGAGGACCTTCCACCAGCCGGGGTCTGTTCACATGTGCTCACAGAGGCACAGACCTGCCCGCAGAGGCTCTGCAGCTTCTCTTTGGGCCTGATCCCTGTGGTTCAGGGACTCATGGAGTAGTGACAGAAGAGGAAAGCCAAGGTGCACTGGGCTGGGAGTCCCCTGCCAGGCTAGCCGGAACAGACAGGTTGAGTCAGCTCTTCAGCAAGACAGCCTGCCGGAGGCAACCCCCTGCGTCCCCAGCACAGCAACTTCCCTGTCCAACAACTAACTCATTCCCTCCTGTAGGCACTATTCTAATATCACCCGACTCTTACTGTACAGAAAAGGAAACTAAAGCTCAAACAGAGAATAAATTGTCCTGGTCATATCTGGTCAATTATATAGGTCACATAGCGGACATGGGACTCTAGGACATTTGAGAGCTTCCTGGCTGCAAGGCTTAACCACCAAGACCTGGGAGCCCTGTGTCCTGTCACTGGATGTAACCCAGTCTTCCAGGCAGGACTGAGGGTTCTGAGTGGGCTTTGGCTGCTGCCTTTGGTCCTCATTTCCTATCACCTCTTCCCCAGGTTCTATGAGGTACAGCCACTGGGGCTGTTCTGTCCCTAGGACACACCAGGCACAAGAGGAACCTGTGACATTTTCAAACCTTTTCTGCTTCTAAAAACACACACAACTAACCTCCTTCTCCTCCCAACTCCTACTCATCATCTCAAAGTCAGATCAAAAGCTGAGCCCACCCATCAGGATGATTATTAGAAAAAGAAATAGAACAAGACACATGTGGGCAAGGATGTTGAGAAATTGGAACTTTTGTGCTTTGCTGGGGTGGAGAAAATAAAAGATGCAGCTGCTTTGAAAACCAGCATGGGATACTCTCAAATAATTAAACATAGAATTACCATATGATCCAGCAATTCCATTTCTAGGTATATACCCATAAGAATTAAAGGCAGGAACCCAAATGTCTATTTGTATAATACACCTCTGTTCAAAGCAGCATTGACCACAATAACCATAAGGTAGAAGCAACTCAAGTGTATACCAACAGATGAATGGCTCAACAAAGTGTGTCATATACAGACAATGGACTATTACTCAGCCTTGAAAAGGAAGGAAATTCTGACTCATGCATTATGCTAAGTGATCTAAGCCAAACACAAAAGAATAAATATTGTATAATTCTACCTACATGAAGTACTAGGGTGGTCAAATGCATAGAATGAGGGGACCCAGGCACTGGGGGAAGGAGGGAATGAGGGGGTATTGTTTAATGGATAAGGAGTTTCAACTTGGGGAGATGAAAAAGTTCCAGAGATGAAAGGATGATGGCTGCACAATGATGTGAATGTACTTAATGACCTTGAACTATACCCTTAAATGATAAATTTTATGTTAAGTATATGTTGCCACAATTTAAAAAAAAAAAAAAAGCTAAACCCTCTGGGAATCCATCTCTGATACCCCAAGCAGTTGAAATAAGATTCATCTCATGATTGCCAGAAATTTATAGTAACAACTCCTTACTAAAAAGTATTAAATGTATTAAATACAATACCTAAAAATCAACAGGTTAAAAAATTGTACCAAAATGTTGATTTGATTTACCTTTCTATTGCCAAGGCCAAATATCTCCCCTAACTTCACTGAACTGGCTATATTTCCTCTTTTGAGAAGACTGGTGTATTTTTCAAGATGATGAGGCAGCAGCTGATGGTGGGAGCCCAGTCTCAGGTGGAATGAGGAGGGATCCAAAGTCCAGACCTGAATCTGTAAGACTCAGCCTCTAGAAGACTCCACCCTGTAGCAGGGAGCACCACTGCCCGGCCTGCAGGCCAGAGGTCAGGGGATCTCTCCAATTCTGACAGGAAGACTGGCCAGAGCAAGAAAATTAGGGCCATAGGTGGGGTGCAGGACAGGATTGGGGCCAAGGGGAAAGAATAGAACAGAGTTTTATCCAGAGAAGCCAAGTATCCGGTTTACCTCCTCTGGTAACTCCCTGCCCCTGGGGTAGAAACTGTCATCCTCATGTCACAGAGAAGGAAAGTAGAAAGAATGACCAATGATGTGTTATTAGGGTTGGAGAAATGGGATTAGAACCAGCACATGGAAGCCATAGTCTTTCCACAGGGGCCACTGCTGAGCAGAGAGCAGGCAGAGAAAGCCCAAGGGTGAATAGTGGCCGAAGGCAGAGAGGAGGGAGGTGGCAGGCTCTAGAGAGAGGAAGAGCACAGAGGAACTGCAGAAAGGATGGGACAGCATCAGAATCCAGGGTGGCTTCCGCAGTTGGAAGGGCCAGTCCTGATAGCTCAGCTCACACAGGGAGGGCGGAGCATCGCCCGCTGAAGAAAGGCTAGGCCAGCCTTGGGCAAACTGGGTTCCAGGCCTCTTTGGGCACGCCCCACTTCTGTGACCTGGGCAAGTCCTTCTCCTCCTCTCAGCTTGTTTCCTTTTCTGCTGGGTAAAAAGTGAGAATCTGCCTTTTGCCTCCCACCAGGGTTTGCGCGCCCCGCATTTGGCGATGCACCTGTTTTTCTGGCACACCTGGTTGTGCAATGCCAACGTCTAGCTGAGCAGCGAAAGCGGAAACAACTTCAGGGAGTTCCCCAGCCAGCGCTGGGACCCACCCACCGGCGGGAGGCGCTGGGGACCTGGAGACGGGCGTGCGCTGGGGAACCGTGACTCACTCTCTTCGGGGGAGACCCCGTCCATTGCCCTCTTCAGCCTCGGGGGCCAGAGCGCGGCTAGAGGAGCAGTGAGACAGCCATGTCTGAGCCCGAGGTCGCAGCCGACGACCTGGACGCCTTCATCGACGACCTGGACTACCTCCCGGGCCACTTCCACCTGGAGATGCAGCTGAACTTCGAGCCGCGTTCGCCGGCCCCGCTGCGCGCCCGGGATCTGAAACTGCAGCGGGAGGCCGTGCAGCAGGAGCTCGAGCTGGCGGCCGTCCCGCAGCGGTCGGCCGTGTGTCACCTGCTGGGTGCGTTCGCCTTCTACCTGGAGGAGCTGGACGAGGCCCGGGAGCGCTTTCTCCAGGTGGTCCGCGAGGACCCGGGCAACCTCAATGCCTGGGCCAATCTGGCACATGTGTACGGGCACTTGGGCCAGGAGGAAGAGGAGGAGGCTTGTGCCGCGCGACTGGCTGGTCTCATGGGCCTGGCGGCGGACCCGGAGGCACCCGCGGACCCCCAGCTCCGGGCTGCACGCTGCCTGGCGGAGCAGGGCTACGCGCACGGCTTCGACGTGGGCTGCGCCAGCCTGAAAGAACGCGCACGGGTACTGGCAGCTGGCATCGCGCTCTATGACAAGGCTCTGGACTACGGGCAGCAGGTGGGTGACACCCCCTTCCTTCGGCTGGAAGGGCTGTGGTCATGGTCCTTTGGTCTGTAGGGTTGCCCCCTGCCCCAAAGTCAACCTCAACCCTGGCCTTTGGCCTGTGGAATACCTTTCCAATGTGCATCCCCCATTTCCGTCCCAGTCTAAATCCAAAGCTTTGCTTTTTGGGCTAGGGAGAAGACCTTAGCAAGGCTCCTGGTCTAAGTCCCTCCTAAACACCACAAACCCTACCTGGCCAATCCAACCCTCACCCTTGCTCCTTCCAGCAAGTACCTGTCCTGGTGCCTGTGCACATCCACCTAATTAAAGGCACAGCCAGACAGCCTGCCAGAAACTCAGGCATTCCTGCCTCTTCTCTGCCACCTGCACATCCATCCATTCAGACCCCAAAGCTTGTCCACTCCACCTCCTGTACCTCTAAGGTCCACCCACTCCTCCCCAGCTGCCCTCAGCCAGTCCAGCCTCCATAATTGCCCACCTGGACCTGTGTAGCTGCCTTCCTCCTCTGCGGGGTTCTGCCCTCCAGCTTGACCCTTCTCCTCTATGCTGCCAGGGTAGTGTTGCTCCACCTTGCTGGCGAAGTCCCTCAGCCCACTCCCCGCTGGCGGGCAAAACAATCCTAGGCTCTTGAGTGAGCTTTGATGCCCACCCTCCCCCCTGGGGATTCCCCTCTGTCCTTCCTCTGCAAGTCAGGCTTTTGCCACATTTTACTTCCCTTCACTCCCCTCTAGGGAAGGACTCACCTTGTTTTCTCAGCCCCTTCCCTGGGTGCTCTTCTGCTCCGCCTCTCCAGTCTTGAGTTTGTCTCTAGAAAGCCTCTGCTGGCTCCCCAGGCAGGGTCAGAATCTCCCCTGGGCTCCCATAGCACTCCCCCTTACTGTCTGTTTACAAGTCTGCCTCTCTGACTCAATCTTGAGGGCTTTGAAAGAGGGAACAACATCCATCTGGTTTACTACTGTAAACCCAGTAACTGGAACATGGTAGCATTTGATAAGCATATCTTCAGTGGATGGATGTACAGCATACGGCCTGCTACCGAATACATACTAGGAATACTAGTCATCTACTGCTGAAAAAAAAATACCTACCAAATTTAGCAGCTTAAAGCAATAAGATTTTATTCTCACACAGTTTGGGTGGGGTTGTCAGCTCTCTAGGCCTGGCTTAGCTCAGGACCCTTAGGCTGTGATCTCATCCGAAGTCTTGCCGGACTGGGGGACCATTTGCTACCAAGCTAGCTCACATGATTGTGAGTAGGATTTAGTTCTTCGTTGGTTACTGGCTGACATCCATGGCCTTTGTCATATTCTGTTCTTTAGAAGCTAGTCAGTAGGTCTATCCCACATTCACAGGAGGGGATTACAGAAGGTCATGAACCCCAGGAGGTGGGGGATCTCTGGGGGCCATCTCAGAAGCTGCCTGCCACATGAAGCATCAGATGATGGATAAATGGTATGGAGGGCATTTTCCTCTTTTAGGAGAAAGGCCATGCTAGTTCAGAGGGGTACCATGACTTTCCCATGAAGGCCAGTATAGTTTTAAGTTTGAGATATTTAAATAATTAGGCCAGGCATGGTGGTGCATGCCTGTAATTCCAGCAGCGCAGGAAGCTGAGGCAGGAGGATCTCGAGTTCAAAGCCAACTTCAGCAATTTAAGTAATGACAAATTTTCACACATGGGTAGCACAGCTCAATTCACAAAACCTCTGAACATCCCCCCACAAGTGCCTTTTTCTCCAAAGTTCACAGCTTCTCTAGGGGGAAATGTGGCTGTTAACATTTGCAGAGAGTACAGGTTGGAGGACAGGGACTTGATTTAAGGACAGCAGTGCAGGAAGGAGCCTCAGAGAGGAGACTACAGGTCAGACAGTCCAGGTTCAAATCCCAGCTCCCCCATGCTGACACCTCTAACCTGTGCTTATCATCTCTAAGGTCCTTTCCCTCTCTGAGATGGGGATAACGATGGTATGTCTGCCAAAGCTTTCTCATCAGTAATATGGAGGTACTTCTCATTTGGTTGATGTCATAATTAAGAGTTTCTATTTGTAAAGCTCCAAGAGGGAGCCTGTGCAGAAATGGACAGGGTCACAGGCGACCCATCCATCTCCCCAGCTAGGAAGCGTCCCCTGGCCTGAGCTGGATGTTGATATGACCATCACCTGGGGCCAGTGAGGACCCATGTCTCCAGTTTCACACTGTAGGTGCTGAGTGTGGTTGTTGCTGCAGGTCACAGCAGTGGAACAGGGTCTGAAGAGCTCTGGTCTCAGAGCCAACAGGCTCCCCTCTTAGCCACCGAACTACCCACAGAGAAGACCTCTCTGCACTGTGTTTTCCCCATCTGCAAAATGGGTGCAGAAAGTGGGGGACCATATGGACCCTGAGCTCCATTTCTGCTCTCTGGAGGTATTCAGTGTGGGGAGGTTTCCTGGAGGAGGTGAGTGGCAAGGCAGAGATTTAGGAATAGTGAGCAAAGGCCAGCTGCCCCCCACCCCTGCATAGTCAGCACAGCCACAGTAGGAACCGCCCAGTGAGTGAACACCCAGAGGGAGTAGGAAGCAGGGCACCCAGCGCCCCAGGGAGGGAGCCGTTGCTTCTGGAGGTGTGGCTGCCAGGCTCTGGGCTGCATTCCTGGGCCTGTCCCAGCAGCTGCTCCTCAGTTCTGTAGAAAGCAGCTGTGACCAGGAGAGAGTTGGGGATGCAGAGCCCCCATTTGTCCTCTGAGGAGTACACAAGATCACACCTATAAAAATCATCACAGTCAGGACAAGGAGGGTAATTTTGGCAGTCAAGAGGCTCAGGAGCATCCAGCTCTGTTATTATTTTCTTGTGTGGCTTTGGACAAGTCACTTGTCATCTCTGGTCTCAGGGTCTACTTCTCAAGCATTTGTCAGTATTGATCTCAGCCAAATGATGAAGTGAAAGTGCCCATAAGTAATTCTGGGCTCATCCAAGAGGCATTTCTTGAACTTCTTTACATTTGTTGAGCACCTAGTATGTGCCAGGCCCTGTCTTACAAGTTCTTGCTGTGAAGAAGCTTCTGGACAAAAGGTGAAGGAAGCATGCATTCCTTCATTAGCTTGTCTTACCTGAGCCCTTCTTGGGGAAACAGAAACCAAAGGGGCAAATCAGAGATGTGTCCACAACTGGCTGAGGTCACATGCCTGTGTCATGTGACAGTCATCTCTTAAGTACTATACAACCCGAGATGGCACTTTCTGAACCAAAAATGGGGCCCCAGAGGCTGACGAAGAAAATGCACTTCAGGGACATGGGGACAAAAGTGTTGGCATCAGCAGTCCCTGTGGATGGAGTGGCAGTGAGGGACTGCAGACAATGAATCCTCTACTTGAGCAAAAGAGACTGAAGGGAAGCTTCTGGAAGAGACAAGTGCACTGGCTCCCAGCAAGCCCTGGTGTGTGCAGAGGCAGGAGGGCTTGATCAGGAGCAGGGGAGGAGGCCTGGAAGAAGGCAGTGCAGGCCTGCACAGGAAGAGCACACAGCAGCTCTGCAGAACAGCTGATAGGTCTCCCTAAGTGAAGCAGGGTCCCGCCTTCCTCAGCCCCCATTTCCTCTTACGGAAGTCCCAGGAATTGGACCCTGCTTCATAGCAATTATAATCTACTTGAGGTTCCCTAAACATACGGCGCTGGCTGTCATCTCCCTCTGCCTAGAAAGAAAACTCAGTTCACATGTCACCGCCTCCTCCTGAACACCTTCTGAGTCCTTGAGTGGAGTCCCTACATGAACCCTGGGGTCCCCATTACAGACATAGGAACTGAGGCACATTAGTCGGCTCCCCCCCACCTGCCTTCAAAGATTTGCTCTTTTGAAAGAGGTCAAAGAAATGGGGATGGGATGAAGGGATCAGGGGACACCTCTCGCACGTGGCCTCCAGGAAACCCAAGGCAGATCAGTGTCAGAGAGACGAGGTGGATAGGTTGCCATGGGTGAGGGGGGCCAGGGAGGATGAGGCAGGAGGTGGAGTCAGCGTCCGGGCTGTTAGAGCAAGATTTCTGCACTTAGACAGACCAGGTTAAAATTCTGCCTCTGTCACCAGGTGGCTACAGGCAGGTCACCTCACTTCTTGAGGATTTTTTTCCTCATCTGCAAAATGGGGTTGTAATGTGGATCCTCCCAAGGCTGCTGGGAGGATCGAGGGAATGTGAGGATACCAGGCAGGTGGGGGTAGGAGCACACCTGGTTCCACCCACCCCCTGGGCCCTATGCTTCACTTTGCCATTGCTCTTTAGCAGGGTCATTGCCAGCCTCTGGCTTATCTTCAGGTGAGTTTTGTCTTGTCCCCTGGAAGGTGAGCCCTCAGTCTTGGGCCTCTCTCCGTTGCCTGCGCCCCCCACACCCAGGAGCAGTTTGGACCATTGTTAATGTAATTTAGTTGAATAACTCAATTCTAAGTCTTAAAGACCTCTACGATTTTTAAATAAAAGATAGTTTGAACTACTTCCCCTCAACAACAACAACAACAAAAACACATGTCCCAAGCCAGTTTAGTTATTGGATTTTCCATCCCCCTTTTCCTAGAATATTGGGGACTTAACCACATGTGTGCATGCACACACGCCCGCATGCAGGTCTCTCGCCCCTGCTTCTATCCCAGGGCAGGTCCTCAGTAATGACAAGGATGGGCCCAGGGCCATGCCCATGTGCTGGACATCGTGGCCCCTTTGATTTGTGTTCAGACCTCCCAGACTCCCTGCCATCTGGGCCTGGGGATCCCCTACCCACAGAGGTGCAGTGACTTGCTCAGGTTGACCCAGCCCCACCCCCACACTGTCCAGATTTCATTCAGCAGCCAGGCAGGAGGGGAGGGAGGTGGCCTTGGCAGGCCAGCCTCACACACGAGGGTGTGGGCCTTGCAAGGTGAGTGCACTCAGCACTCTGGGGACTGGCAAGACTTGAGAGTATCCTGGGCCAGCGACCTCAGGGTCCCTGGTTTGTGTATATTTGTCACCACAAGTGCACACGCATGCACACACACTACTACAGTGCCAAGTGGTTTGACTTAGTTCAGCTAGCAAAGGAAGTAGATTAATTGAATGGTGAAAGTGCCACCAGGCTGTCTCACTTGATCATCACAGAAATGCTGGGAAATTGGATCCATCATTGGTCCATATTACAGATGAGCAAAGAAAGGCTCAGAGAGGTATAGTGACATGCCCAAGGGCACGCAGCCAAGAATGGCTGGCAGGAACTAAACTCAGGTCTGTTGAACATCTAAGGCCTGGCTGGGAAACAACATTCCTGAGGCTCTGGCTCCAGACTTCTCTTGGCCTCAAGGCCATTCACTTTTGCATATCAGTGCTTCTGCTGTGAGTTTGCGTCTGGCTTCTCTCCCCATTTACCTCATAAATTTGAGAGCCCTGAATGCTGGGTCTCCCCCTTCTAATGGATACAAGATCCCAGAGCCAAAGCTGCTTTTAGCATCGTTCGGCCCAAGTACCTCTGAGAGGGGAAAATGGTCATTACCTGAGCACAGCATAGCATGGACCCCGGGTGGCACTGCAGAGTAGGGTCACACTGTTGTTACTCCAGAAGGCAGGGGACTTCTTCAGACCCACCCAGCAGCGGCCAGCACTAGAGTTGGACTTGGACCAGAACTAGACAGGAGATGTCTGATGAGGAGGACAATGGGGTAGAGAAGTGACTCAGTGCAGCTCAGCCAGCCGGGGAGCCAAAGCAAAGATGGGCCACATGAACTGCGTCCTAGACAGACCTGAGACCAGGAAGAAGTGGCAACCGGGGGCTGCCGTCCACCTACGCAGCGTAAGTTCATGAGAAACCATACAGGGAACCCAAGACAGGGCCGAACTTTACTTAGCACCCAGTAGCACCCAACCCCCGAAGTCCCTCTGCCTGGTCACACCTACCGACCCCAGCAACAGTTGTAGGGGCAGAAGCTGAACCAGTGGCCTTTCCCAGATCCCTGAGGGGCGAGGGGATCGGCAGTGCTCCTGCCCAGGCAGGAGCAGGAGTGCAGGAGCATGGCAGTGGGGGTGGGAGGAGCTCCCTCCTGGCTGCTCTGTGTGTCCCTCAGGTGGCAGGCGCACCAGGCAGGCGGCTTCATGTGCTGTGTGTGTGCATCTCAGAGGATGATCCAGTCATGCAGGAAGGATGGAATTCCAGGCCTGCCCTTGTGACTCTGACTTGTGCAGTGTCAGCCTTCTCAGGGTCGGCCTGATGAGGTGGGAAGAACAGCGGCGGTGGAGGGAGGCAGATCTGAACTTGACTCTAGACACTTATGCCCTGGGCTGGGGGCTGGGCCAGTGGTTTTTTTTTCTTAGTCTGTTTCCTCATCTGTACTGGGAAGAAGATGCTGTATACCTTCTAAGGCTGCTGTGAGGATCCAGTGCCACTAAAGTGCCCAGTGACCCTAGAGAAGTGTTCATTCTTGTCATTTCCTCTCCTTGAGAGAATTAGTCAGCTCCCAGGAACCAACTCTGGAATGTGGAGTGTAACCATTAAGGGCAAAGCTCAAACTGCTAGGCAAATACTTGCCCCAGGAACAAACAAGATGTCTGTACTGCCTGTCTGATGCAAGGAGATGTATAAGCCCTTGGTATGGGAAAGATTTTTTATTGAAAAACTTTAAAATAGCCAAGCCCAAAATGTTCCCTTCTTTTGAGTCCAACCTTTAAAAAATTTTTTAGTACCAGGGATTAAACCCAGGGATGCTTAACCATGGAGCCACATCCCCAGCCCTTTTTTATATTTTATTTAGAGACAGGGTCTCGCTGGGTTTCTTAGGGCCTCACTAAGTTGCTGAGGCTGGCTTTGAACTCATGATCCTCCTGCCTCAGCCTCCCAAGCCACTGGGATTACAGGCGTGCGCCACCACACCCTGCTTGGGGCCATCTTTTGAAGAAAATGGAATGTTTAAGATTCATCCTAGAACCAGAGTTAACACAAACCTGCTCCTGTAATGGCTTATCCCATTCCCACCATTTCTGTCAGGTCACCTGCCATTGTCACTTACCCACCCAGTTATAGGAGCTGGTGTCTTCAGGCTTCCCTGTGGACTATATTCCTTTGATTCATTTAAAAAATGAGGCACCTGCCAGGTATTGTGGTGCACACCTGAAATCCCAGCGGCTCAGGAGGCTGAGGCAAGAGCATCCAGAGTTTGAAACCAGCCTCAGCAACTGTGAGGCACTAAGCAACTCAGTGAGACTGTCAAAAAAAAAAAAAAAATACAAAATACAAGAAAAATGAGGCACCTGCTAGCTGCATTTATTCCACTGTCCAAAGAGAGAGCCTAGCACAGTGGTTTTCTTCACCATGCAGTAGAGGGCCTGTGAGCAGCTGGCTGGGCCACCGCCCCAGCAAATTTCAGAGTGATGGGTCAAGAATTTGCATTTCTGTCAAATTCCCAGGCAACATCCATGCGCTGGTCTGGGGCCAATGCTTTCAGCACCATTATTCTACAGTAGTTACATGTAGGGACCATGGAGTTAAAGTTGCTGGGTTCAAGTTCTCCTAGCCTCCAGCTGTGTCACTCTCACTCTGGGCACAATACCTGACTACTGTGTGCCTCAGCTGCTTCATCTGTAAAATTAGGATAATAATAGTCCCTGCCTCATAGGTAACACTTGAGAGAGCCAAAGGGGTTAATATACATAATGGTGTGTCTAGTGTATAATACGTGCTCCATAAAATTTCCTCGTATTTGTATAGCAGAAAGGGGATCCTCCCGGGTCCATGGTTACCGGGGCCATGGGGCTTTTTACCATCTTGCCTCAGTTTTCCCATCTGTACTAAACACTCCACACAGGACATTCTGAGAATCACATGGAATCATGCAAAAGCACTTTGTAAATAGTAAACACTGTGCAAACACTAGCTCTCTGCAAGCTAGATGGTGTGGGAAGAACATGAACTTGAAGTCAGAGAGAACTAGCCTAAAATATCAGGACAAGCAGTCAGATCTCTGCTTCTTTTGATCTTGGTTTTCCCATCTCTGAAATAAAGAAAATAATGACAAGGACCTCAGAGGACCTGGGAAATGACCTGAGAACCCCTCACTGGGGTCTGCCCTTCACTCTCACCTTCAGTCAGTATCAGGGTTGCAGATTTCACTCCAGGGGCATCATGGGCCTCACCAGTTCCCTCCCACAAATTTGCCACAGGACAGCCGCCTTCTCGGAGACCCCTCCAGCTGAAGCCTCGACTCCCATGCTGGCCTCACACAGAATCCCCAGCTCAGGGACTAAGGAGATCATGAGGTGTCCTCCAAGAGCCCACATCAAGCAAATCCTGGGGAAATACCTCTTTCCCAGAAGCCAGCCTGTGAGCCTCCTCTCATTCAGCCTCCAACCCCTGGCCTCTGGGAGTCATAAACCCTGTAGCAGCATTCCTTGCAGGCAACTTTATTCTCCAGGAGAGGTGAACAACTCCTCCCTTCTGCGGGAGGGAGGGGCAGCCAGAGGCCTGTTTAATTTAATTTAATGCACTGTGGCTTGCCAGGTTGCCCCGGTAACCGCTGCAGCTGCTGCTTCTGCAACAACAAGAAGAATTTTTAAAGAGACAGCCCATTTACAAGCAGGCCAGAGTTGCACGGCAGAGCAAACAGCCTCCACCACTGCTTCATTGCAGGGGTAGAAGACGAAAGCCCCAGCACATCAAGGACTCCAACTAGATCTGTTTACTCCATTAACTCCATCTCAGTTCCACTGACCTCATCTGTAACTCCACAAGCTCTCCTGCAAACAGCACTCTCAAGTGGGATCTGTTGAGGGAATTTGGGATTTGTCACACAGATGTCACTCAGCTAGATCCTTTTTTGAAAATCAAATTTTCCAAAAGATTCTTGGAAGTTCGGAAGGCGTTCACTTCTGGGCTCTACCCCTGCAATTCAAGCACACAGCCACCAGGTGGTGATATTGCTTGCTTAGTGAAAACCATAAGGAAGCTGAACTGTTGGAAGATTTTCAACAGTGACCAGTGAGGTGTCCTCCAAGAGCCCACACCAGGCAAATCCTGGGGAAATACCTTTTTCCCAGAAGCTGGCCTCTGAGCCTCCTCTCATTCTGCCTCCAGTCCCTGGCCTCTGGGAGTCATAAACCCTGTAGCAGCATTCCTTGCAGGCAACTTGATTCTCCAGGAGAGGTGAACAGCTCCTCCCTTCTGCAGGAGGGAGGGGCAGCCACTGGGTTCTAAGTTCTGATGCTAACAAGTGTAGAACCTTGGGTAAGTCACTTCACCACTCTAGTCTCAGTGTTCTCAAATACATAATGAGATTGATAAGACAACTGAGTGTTGTGGACTATGCTTGGGGCTAGAACTATGGGAGGCACAGGTTAAGTCCTAGTTCTGTCATGCAAAAATGTCTGGCTTGGGCACAAAATTTAATTTAGTTTGGCTTGAATACCAAACGAGAGTGACTGTGAACCAGGAAGAGCCCCGGGGACAACAGAGCACTCAACTTCAACACTGGGAAAGTTACCTGGGACCCCACGGGGTCCTGCAGTCCTGGGAGACATGAGGTACGGAGAATGGGATGAGGCAGGGTGTCTCTAGACTCTGGATCCTGGGACCTCATTGCCCCATAGGGCACCAAAACAGGTCTCAGTGGACAAAGCAACTAACTTAGAAACTAGAGAAACTAACTCGGTTTGGCTCCAACCCAAAACAGGAGAAAGGAAATAAACATTTCTTCTGGGCCTGGCACTGCCCTTGGAACTTCCTGGAAGCCCATAGTGTCACCCTACTTTGCAGATGAGGGCATAGCCTTCAGAGGCAACTCATCCCCAGGGTCATACCTCAGGCCAGGCCTGTGGGACACCCAGGCCTCTGCCCTGAATATCAGAAGCCAAAGTCCACTGCACCTACTCCAACTTGGCCTCACCCCTTGCCAGGAGCACTGAAGACAAGTCAGGGCCTCTTTCCTGCTATGACTATTCAGCCAGCCACAAAGCAGGCTGTGGCCAGAGTCCTGAGACCACACCAACAAGTGGCCAGGTAACCAAGGCCCCACTACCTTTAGCACTAACCGTGGTCAGGCCTTGACTTTATGTCCAGGTCTTTGGTCAGTGTGGCCCACAGAGGGTGCTCCATAAATCCAAGCCCCTTCTTCCTTCCCACATCCCCTGTAAGGAAAGCTGACAAGGTGATCCAGCATCCTACCCCCTCTTTTTGCCCTGGGAAATGTTCCCCACTTCTGAAGGAGGCCCTGACCCTCAGGGCCTGCACTTCTCCCCTCCAGAGAGCACTCTTCTCAGCTAAAGCCCCAGTGCACTTATTCCCATCTATGTGACAGATGACCCTTCAAGGTGCTGTGAATATAAAATCACACTGGATCTTGGCACTCCCCAGCTCACACTCCTTCTGTGACTCCCCACTGCCCTGCAGATGAGCTCCTGGCATGGGAATCCTTCCCAATATGCTCCTGCTGACTTTTCCCCTGCGCTTACCACTGGGGTCTATCCTCAGGGCTGCCTGCGGATCCTGCCATTCACACTCGTTTTCCTCTGAGTTTGGGCATAGGGTGGCCTCTGGGAATGCGTTTCCTCGTGGTATCACCTGGGTGATTCCTCTCATCCTTGAGGACCTGCTCGAGGTTGCTTCCTCTGGGAAGCCCCAGGGAACTCCTGGATTGGGCAGATACCTCCTCTGGGCTCCCAGGGCACTGATAGATCAAGGGCCCCTCAGGATGGGCCTCATCTTTCCTCTCCTGTCCTCATTGCTCAGCCTAGGGACACACAGAACAGAGAGCAGGGAAGTGTAGGCTAAGACATGCTGTCGGTGGGTCCTCCTCTGCGTGCTCTGGCTGGGGCCAGGGCTCTCAACCCGATGGGCAGGCGCCACTCAAGTGAGTCTCACGCATGAGGTCTCCTCTCTGCATTCCTCCCGGCTCCTAGTTCATCCAAGGTCTCCTTGCCAATGTTGACCCCCCCTCACCCAATCACACATACAGCTCCAGGGTGTCTGTTTCCACACATCCCCGGGTCTCTGTTCATGCCAGGCCCTCAGTTTGGGGGTGCCCTGGTCTCCATCCCACATGAGGATCCCTCTGAAGTGCTACTGCCCACCTTAAATCCACAGCCTTGGGCTGGGGATGTGGCTCAAACAGTAGCGCGCTCGCCTGGCATGCAAGCGGCCCGGGTTCGATCTTCAGCACCACATACAAAGATATTGTGTCTGCCGAAAACTAAAAAATAAATATTAAAAAAAATTCTCTCTCTCTTTAAAAAAAAAAAAAAAAAATCCACAGCCTCTAACTGGGAGTCTTTGTCCATCCTGCTGCATCCCGGTCTATATTGCTCTCATGACCTTGATCCGACTTTACTTCCTACTACAGTTTTTTGGCAATTCATGTGGCAAAGGGAGCATGGGCTTTGGAGCCAAAAGGCATTGGATGCCCAGCTCTGATGCTCTCAAATTCTGTGACCTGGGGCCAGTCACTTTACCTCTCCAGGCCTCAATATGTTCACCCATAAAATGGGGCTAACACCTCCCTCCTGGATTGTGGGATTGAGGTGATGGTATCAAGATCCTGTCCCACAGCCAACACAAAGTCGAATCCTGTGCCTGTTATTGATACCTGCGTCTGTTTCCCGAGCCAGCTTGGGAGCCTGTTCAAGTCAGGGTGCAGCTGCTGTTCACTGTCACGTCCCCAGAGCACCCGCCCAGCACCCCGTGCTGGAGGTGTTCGGAATGCTGCTGGGTGCATGGATGATGGGGGTCTTGAGCTGAGGAGGCCACAGTGGGGGCAGGGAGTGCAGAAGATCAACCGTGGGCGATGAATGTGGAAGGAGGGGCTGGACTCTGAGGCAGAGCTGCGGATATGCACTGGGGGTTTTATTGGTTTTCATTAAAATTCCTTCTCGAGGCAGGAGCAGCTACTCCCATAAATAACGGCATAAATATTTTATCTGGTGCCCAAGTTGGTCTAAATGCACAGCAAGGTTGGCAAGAATAATAATGGGAAACAGTCCAGGGCGTCCTGGGCTTGGGCTGAGGCGGACTCACTTAACATGCCTGAGGGGCTTTCTCAGGAAAGTGGGGGCTGAGGGAAAGCAGCACAGGAGAAGTAACAAGAGCAGAGGAGAGAGAAGGCAACCCATGGGGTGTGAGCCCCCAGTGGGCAGCCAGAGCCTGGTGGAGGAGCCAGGGCCAGGAAGGAAAGGGATTCCACACCTACTCTGTGACAGGCACCTCAGTAGGGGTCACACAGCTTATCTTGTCAAATCCTATGTGGTCAGGGAGGTGAAGCAACTTGTCCAAGGACACCCAGCCAGACACTGGCAGAGCCAAGATGATCATCAAAGGTGTGTTAGGCTAAGGCCCTTCGATTGTGCCTCCTGCCTCTTGGGGTTCAAGGTGGACAATGGCCTCCATAACAGCAGCATGGCATTCTCTGCTTTCCCAGATCCCGATGGAGGAGAAAAGGGGCTGGTACTTCACCATGGCAACCCTCCTCATCAGGTCAGGCCAGGGGTGGAAGGGGATGCAGGACTGGGGAGGTGTGGCTCCGTTGGCTGGGCCTGGAACCAGGCAGCGGGTGGGGGCAGAGGTGGTGGAGCCCATTCCAGGTGAGGGCTTCTGGAGGGCTGCTCACCTGGGGGTGGCGGGGAGGGGGCGCCGACCAGCCACAGCCCCTTCTCGGCCACAGGCTGGATGGCATCTTCCTGGAGCAGGGCAGCCAGGAGCAGAAGAGGCTGCCTGCCTTCAACCGCACGCTGACCCTGCTGCGGCAGGTCCTCAAGTCCTCGGACCCCCGACACCGAGGTAGGGACCCCAGGGGTGGGCGGAGTGGCAGCCTCTGCCCCCACCGTCCTTGCACCTGTCACTGGTACTGCTGGCCTGGGGCACTGTCCCCACGTCTGGCACTGTGTCCCTTTTCTTTCTCCCTCCCTGTTTGTGTCACATGCTCATTTCTTTACCTCAGGAGCCCTCCCACCTGGCCCCAGGGAACACCCAAATTACAAATCACTACAGTGACACGCTCCCAAAGTTCCCAGATGGTCTCAGGACCTGGAGGGAGATCTTGTCCTGCTCCAGCCCACCACCCTCACTCTATGGTGGGAGATGAAAGTCTGCTTGACCGGGTGTGCGTGAGAGTGTGTGTGTGTGTGTGTGTGTGTGTGTGTGTGTGTGTGTGTGTGTGTGAGGGAGCCATCTTCTCTAAGGCCAGAAGCCAGAACAGGCGCTGCACCCACCCAGAGAAGTCAGAAGAGAGCTATGACCCTGAAGTGAGGTTCCCTAGGTGACACATTAGACTCAGAATGGGCATCAAAACCTGTTCATTCACTCCCTCCCATGTCCCCTTGTTCCGCTTTTGTTTCTCTCTGCCACTGTCCCTTACTTTGTCATCATGGGTGCCTTGAGTGGAGCTGTCTCCGCCCCACCCCTGGCTCCCCTTCCCTTCTTCCCCCATCGCTGCTTCCTAGAGTCCCTCTCCCACCCCCCACCCTAGCGCTGGCCTGGTGCTATCTTGGGATGCTGCTGGAGAGGAAGGACACCTTCTCCACCACCCCTATGGGCATCCACGACTGTGGGTACTCCGGGACTGACCCCTTGGACTGCTTCGGCAAGGTATGTCCCCAAACCGCAACCGCTCTGCAAACTGGGGTGGGGGGGGGCTCTCCTCCAGGACCCATGGGTTCTCTAGATGTCATTCCTCCACCATGTGTCCTACAAGAAGGCACTTACTCCACACCCCTCTCCACCCTTCCCCTAGTCCTAAAAAAAAGGGCTCCTTTGTGGCTCTTTTCCTCTGCCTAAGACTAAGTCCTTCCCCACATTCAAGCTGGTCCAAGCTCATTTCTCCAGCCTTGACATAGACCCTCAGACTTCTCCCCTGAGGCCAGTGTCCACATTGTTCCTCTGCAGGGTTCCCTCCCTCCCCAACCACAGTGGCACAGTGGAAAGAAGATCTCTAGCTGGAGTTTTCTTACCAGTTCTGCTCACAAGCTGTGTGGCCCTAGGGCAAGCCACTTAGGTCAAGCAGCAGTCAATTCCAACATAGGGGGAAGTGCTGAGGCCCAGCTAGAAACATCATAAATATGGGAAGGGGCTGACTCTGGCTCCTCCTCTCACCCTGGGAATATGGCAGAGCACACATGGGAAGGAGGGTTTACCTGGGGTCTGGAAGGGTTTGCTGGCCATGACCAGGGAACAGGGCAATGAGCTGGGCTCTGGGAGCTGAGTATCAGTGGATGTACCCCAAAGGTGTTGGGTTCCATGATATGACTGACATACAGCAGGTAGGTGTGGAGTTAGCACACGTGTGACAGGACTCTGTGCAGAGGTGGGGTCCCTATGGTTTAGGCGCCATTTATCCAGGCTGACAGACAAGCAGACAATACATGGTTTGTCTCTACCCTCCTCTCTTATCTAGGCTATCGAGATTGCCAAGGACCAACCTCCTATCCTGAATCACCTGGCCAAAATCTTCCACTTCCTAGGAAAGCAGGATATGGCCATTGGAACCTGTAACATGGCCCTGGATGTCCTACAAGATCCAGAGCTCAACTGGCAAGCATACTGCACAAGGGCCAAGGTGGGTCACCCACAGCGCCTCCCATTGGGAATCAGGGACCAAAGACCAGGGGCCATGACCCTATTGCCAAAGCCCAAAGGGCCACTTAGGGGTCATCAGGGCACGCCGTTGTGGTCAGTAAGGTTGCTGAGGTCAAGAATAGAGGAGCCTCTTCCTACCCTTCTGCAGCACCTGGTCTGGAGCCTCCAGACTCCAGTGGAATCAGACCATTGAAATCTGGTCTCTCCAGCTATGATTGTGGAACCTGTGGCAAGCCACCTACCCCTTCAAACCTCAGTTCCCAAATCTGTAAGATAAGCTAATAACACCCATCTTAAAAAGCTCTCAGAGGCTGAAGCACAGCACCTGGGCATGGCAGGTTCTTTTGGAAAGTGGGAGATTCCACTTTAAGTGGAGGTAGATTCGTCTGGTGGCTCAGAGCTTTGGTCCTGGACACAGAAAGTCTTGATTCAAATCCCGTGTCACCACTGACATGCCATGGGACCTCTGACAAAATACTGGGGCCCAATTCCTAAACCTTGGTTTCTTTATCTGACCCTAGATAGTAGTACCTGCCTCACAGAGTGGTTCTGAAAAGTGAATTAGATTCTATGTAAAACTCAGCACCAAGCTTGTTGTAAGAGTTCAGAGGTGACTGATGGCTATTATTAGGTATATTTTTAGCTGATCAGCTGTCTCTTGTGACAGTCCCCTGCATAGTTTTTTAGGGCTGCAAGTTACACATTCCAGTGAGAGCTGCCCCCTCCCATCTTTCCCCACTGGGCCCACATCTGCCCTCTGGAGCCTCACAGAGGCCATTTGCCTGGGGACAGCCCAGGAGCTCCAAGTTTACTATGTGCCAAGCGAATAAGCAACCCTCTTCCCCCTATTTTTTCCACTAACTTTCACGTGACCTAATGGCAAATCTGCTCCTGGTCTTGGTCTCCACAGCTTAATTTCCTGCTCCTAGTGCCATCAGGGACTAGGGTCAGCATATTCTTTCATTGTAGTTGATATGGTTAATATTATGAATAATAAGAATATTAATCATAATACACCATAAAACATTCCTATAAAACTCTGCATTTCTGCATTTCACCAAGCACTTTCATGATTGTGGTCTGATTTAATCCTTATAAGAATCTGAGAAAGACCGGACCTATGTCAGTCTACAAATGAGGCCACCAAGGGGCAGTGAACATTCCCAGCGATCTGCTCTCAAATAGCCAGAACCCTTGGGCTATGGCTGTGACGCAGTGGTACGTACAGCTCTTGTCTCACATATGTGAGGCACTGGGTTCAATTCTCAGCACCACATATAAATAAGTGAATAAAATAAAGGTCCATCAACAACTAAAATATATATATTAAAAAAAATAGCCAGAACCCCAGCCTTACTTTCCTCACTCTCTCGCCTTGTGTCTTAAGCTTGCTGCTTCCCTGTAGCTCCAAAGGTCACTTATTATTTAGATGTCCAGAGGAGGAAGGAGCAGGAGGGAGGGACTCACATGATCTATGTAGAACCCTTGGACCACACTGTGGCCCATAAACTCAAACCTGGACATGATGGCCTCACCCCTCCCTCTACTCATGTCTCTCATTCTTTTCCAGCCCCACTGGCCTGAGCCTCCATCTAGAATGTTCTTCTCCCAGATATGTGATTGACTTCTTCCCTCACTTCCTGCAGGCCTGATAAAAGGCAGTTTCTAGAGACCTTATTGAAAAGGTCAACCCCCTGCCAATACTTTCTATCCTTTTCAGGTTTGCTTTTTTTAATATTTATTTTTTAGGTGTAGATGGACACAACACAATGCTTTTATTTTTATGTGGTGCTGAGGATCGAACCCGGGTCCCACCCATGCTAGGGGAGCGCTCTACCGCTGAGCCATAATCCCAGCCCCAGGGTTGCTTTTTCTTAACGCCAATTACTCCCTAACACATTATTTAACCATTTATTATGTTTATTGTCTTCCTCCCTCAGTAATAACACATGAGTTCCAGGAAGGCAGGACTTTTGACATTTTGCTCTGCACTGTATCCTTGGGCCTGGAACAGTGCCTGGCTCAGGATGAATATCTGTTGAAGACATGAACAAGGGAACTGGGCGTGTGCTAGGGCCTAACTAAAATATGATCTCTCAGTCATCAGGAAAACTCCCAAGGGAGGTATCAGTGTACTAACTTTTCAGAGATAGAAAATGGGGCTCACAGAGGTTGTGTGACATCCTCCAGGTTACATGGTTAATATGGGGGGGGGGCACTCGATACATGTTTGTTGAATGAATGAATGAATGAATGAGGGCCACTTACTTCACCCAGTCCTCTCATTGTACAGACAGAGAAACAGGCCCAGAAAGAGGAGCAGCTAGCCCAAGTTGCCACAGGACCAGAACCTAGGATTCCTGGGTCCCAGCCTTAGGAACTTCCTGCTACCCCACAGAACATCCCTATTTGCTATTAATAAAGGGACAGTCTTCTTGTAGGACAGAAAGAAGGGAGGTCCTTACTTGAGTACCTTCCCTGAGCTAATCCTCTGCCTGCAGATCCACATCAGAGCCTACCTGCACGACCTGACACGGGCCAAGACGGGGCTTGGGGGTATGCCGGACAGGAAACACCTGGCCTGCGCCAAAGCTGACCTTGAGGAAGTAGTCAAAGTGTGCCCAGGCCTCAGGACATACCTGGACATTGGCCAGGTAAGGCAGCCTCTTGGCTTGATTATCGAAAAGATCATTTATAACCTACTAACTCCCTGCCAGGCTAGGCCCGAGTATGAGGACATAGATAGGAATAAGGGGCATCCTCCCACCCATCTCTTCCAGCCATGGGGAAGATGAAATGAGATAATGTGTGTACCGTGTTTAGAAGAGAGCCTGGCTCTCTAAGCACTCAATAAGTATTCTTTACCCAAAAGTGACTACTATGCTCAGGGGATAGTTACCAAGAGGTGATAATATCATAATTTTACATATGAGAAAACCTGGGTCTAGAGATTGACTTGCTCAAGGTTATATTTGGCTGGAACTGGAATCCCGATACTGCTTCTCCTTTTCCAGGGGCGGGGGCAGCTACAGAGTTTAAGAATTGCTGCTGTAGGGAGGTAGGGAGGGTGGACCGAATGAAGGAAGTTTTTTGGAACCAGCTTGAGGGTGGTATGACCCTGAGGGCGGTGTTACTGGAAGGAAGGCTCAGCGGCCCCCCCACCCCAGGTCTACTACTACATGGGCGTGGACGCCATGCGGGAGCTGCTGGCGGTGGACGAGGCGGCTCTCAACCAGGCGCTGGTCTTCCTGGCCAAGGCCGGCGAATTCGAGCTGGGCGCCACGCTGCCCGAGCTGCAGCTGCTACGAGGCAAGTGCCTGCGCATCAAGGGCGAGGAGGCCAACGCGGCGGCCTGCTTCAAGCGCGCCGTGGAGCTGGACGACATGGGCTCCAGCCACACCGAGGGCTTCGGATGCCTGCTTGAGGCGCTGCTGGTGCAGTGGAGCCAGGCACAGCTGAGCGACGGCGAGCTGGGACTTGAGGTGGACGCCTGGCTGCGCCGCGCCCGGGGCAAGTACCCGGAGGCCTGTCTGCGCCAGGAGCTGCAACGCGTGTGGCGCGGCCACACGGATGAGATGCTGGGGGTGGCCGGGGCCTTGGTGGCCCAGGGACGGCCAGCGCTAGTGCGAATGCTTTTCGAAACCATGGAAGTAGAGGGTGAGAGTGGAGAGGCGCGCAGGCGCCGTGCGTTCTCCTTCTGAGTTGCCGGAGTCCAGGCCCCGCCTCGCAGAGGCCCCGCCCCAGGTTCTGAGGCAGTTCTAAGCACTGAAGTTGTGCGCCCCAGCCACCCGCAGGCTGCTTGCGGTAGCCAATCAGATTCCTTTTCCGAAACTGAGAGGTGAACATTGAGACTAAGGCAGTTCGAGCTGCCCACTAAGGCCTGACTGCCAGTTTGGGGACTCTCATGAGCCATTCTCTATAAGAAGATAAGGGGTTGCCGGATGAGAGAGTGCAACACCTGTGATCCCAACTGCTGAGGCAGGAGGACTGCGATTTCAAGCCCGCGCTGGACAAATTGAGGGAGACCCTGTCTCAAAAAACGAAAGACTAACGTTGACTGTTGACTGCAGTCTCGGGTCCTGCAGCCGGAAAAAGTTCAGAGTGGAATCAAGGGCAAGGTGGCACAGTGAGTGGGCTAAGGCAGGGCCTTAACTTAAACCTGGGTGCTCAGTCCTTTCTCCACCTCCTACCAGTTTTCCAGCAGGTGTCATTCTTGGTCGGCATGGTTCCAAAGTCCTCTGGAATTCCTTGAAATAGAACTTGTCAATAGAACCTTTACTTGACTTCTCTGTTCTGGAGAAAATCTAGGGGCCCCACCCATTAGGACATGCCACCTACTCTCAATCTTGAATCTTCTATGAGAGAATGAGGGAGAACTTGGACCTTTCTGGAATCATCATCACAGAATCTTTGATGTGGAATTTTGTCAAAGACTTAGTAGACCTGATAGCCACCAAAGTGTACAAGGGTTGAGCTAGATTCTGTGGTCTCACACACAGGAACTACTTTAACCCCAAATCCCAGATTAAGTTTTTGCCAGACACCAGAAAAGCAAGATTTATGATTTCTTTTGCATCTTTTTCTTTCTTTGAAGAGCTATCCTCCCTGCATTGTTCATGGCCATGGTCCTCAGGCTCCACCAGGGACAGGGCTCTATATTGCTTTTTGAAACCAAGGAACTAGAGGGTGAGAGTGGTAGAGTGGCACCATTCTGAAGTACAACACTGTCTGACCCCTTCACTAGGCAGATGGGAAACTGAGAGTCACAGAAGGGAAGCATTTGCCCAAAGTCCCACTTTCTGTGTCCTTGCCTTGAATCTGAAGCTTACTTTCAGCATTTTTAAGGTTTGGAAAAATAATAGTAAGCTGATCAATGCTAAAACATTGTTATGTGTTAAAGGTTTGTGTGACACTTGTACCATGGTGCACTCTGATAGTCAATGTTTTTAACGCCACTGATGCTTTCCAGATACCTAGAAATCACACAAGGAGGCCACTTTGAGGTAGCTGAATTCCACCTCAGGCTCACCATGGCTCACCATTTGGGACTGTGGTATTCTCTCCCCACGTCCTTCTCTTCTCATTGCATCAGAGGCCAGGAGGTGACTCATCAGTGGGCAGTACTTGTGGCCCTTTTCTCCCTTCATCCTGCCCACTCCCATCCTTTCTCGACCAAGACCATGACTATGACCTTCCTTAAAATGGAGATGCATTTCCTTCCACTTCCCTACTGGCAAGATTTAAAAAGTTGCTGAAGTTGGTGCCCCCACCTCCAGTGTTTCCTTCCTTGCATTTCTTGTCCCCAAGTTCATTCATGCGTTTCTCCCTTTATTGCCCCTGCCTCCTGTCATAACCTTTTTTTTTTTTTTGAACCAGAGATTGAACTCAGGGGCACTTGACCACTGAGTCACATCCCCAGCCCTATTTGTATTTTATTTAGAGACAGGGTCTCACTGAGTTGCTTAGTGCCTTGCCATTGCTGAGGCTGGCTTTAAACTCGAGATCCTCTTGCCTCAGCCTCCTGAGCCGCTGGGGTTACAGGTGTGCGCCACAGTGCCTGACTATCGTAACCTTTTGAATAAAATTTCTTTCTGATAACCTCATTCACACTGATCATTTAAATGATTAACAAACACCCATTCTAGTTTCCTCAGGGCTATCTGCATATTAACCGAAAGCCAAAAAGAGGTAAGAAATCCCATTCCCCAGACTGCCTACTATGTGCTAGGCACTTCATGTGTGTAACCTCACTGAATTCTCTCACTCACCTGAAGGGTAGGCATTTTACAGAAATGAGGATACTGCGACACAAACAAGGCCACAGGTAAGTGAGTGAAGAGCCAGGACTTGAAGTGAACCACCCTGTTCTGTGCCTCCTCCTGAACACAGCCCTGCAGGACATGTGTCATCTTCCCTCCAGAGTTGGCTTTTCCAGGGTCCTGTGAGCACCAGCCCTACCTGTTGCTCTTCCCTCAACTCCATTCCTAAACTGCCTTGCCTTTGGACCTTTCCACATTTTGTTCCTCCACTGGCTTTTTTTTTTTTTCTGGTCATTTCTATCCCAAGTGCTCAGCTCCAAGGCACCTTGTCCAGGAAGTCCTGCACTGAGCTTTACATATAAGAAAGTCTTAGTTTTTGAGGTTGAACTGAGCAAACCCACAGCAATGAGCTGGCACCTCAATTCCAAACAGGTGTCTCTATTGCTAGGTTCACAGGACTCAGGTTAGGGGCAGGTCTGCAGCCTAAGGTCCCTTAAGGTCTGAAGATCAGACAGAAAATGACTTTTCTTCCTACCTCCTATCCAGCCTCACACCAATCTCCTAGTTCTGTGATTGGGAAACTGAGGCCCAGTGGGCAGAGACTTTTCTAAGGTCAAGCTCAAAACCACCCCCAGACTCGTGGTCCACTGCTCTCTGTCCTCCTTGCCCAGTTGGCTTCTTTCAGACCCAGGAGGATGACAGCCCTTCCATTCATTTACTCAACAAATATTTACCAAGTGCTGGCCAATGCCAAACTCTGGGGCTACAGTAGGGAACAAAACAGAGCTTGTCCTTGCCTTCAGGGAGTTCACAGCTTAGACCATGAGGAACAGTTATTGGGGTCTTATGGGTCATTGCAGGAACTTTGGAAGACCTATGGGAAGCTATCAATGGTTTTAGATGGCAAAGCACTGTCCCTCCTCCATTCTAGCCATCCTCAGCTAGGGTGAGTAGCCTTTCCAAAGTCCAGCAGGGTTGGGGAGGAGAACGTGGCTGTCCCTGGGGCCCAGGACCTGGTTCTTGACTACCCCTTTTAAGCAAGCCATTGCTCAGGCCAGGCCTGACAGTCCTCTCAAATGGTGATCTCAGCTGCTTGGGGAGGCGGCTTACAGCTTTAAGCCCAAGGGACACCTCTGCCCACTATGGGGCTGGGAGGACAGCTGTCATGCAACTGAAGTGGCTTCTCAGGGAGCACTGCAAAGTGAAAGCCTTAGTGGCCCCACAATCAGAGCAATGAGAATGGAGCCTTCCTCAGGGTCCAGCAGCCATCATTAGGCAGCCTAGCACTGGGGTTCAGCCGGCACGAGCGAGGCATGTTACAGATGGTGAACATAGTCGAGATCCCCCAGTTACAGGTTCCCAGAGTGTCAGAATTGGAAAGAACCTTAGACATCACCTGTCTCAGCCTCCCATCTACTACGAAACTCCTCCCCACAGTGAGTGTTCTGGAAGAGGGTCTACACAATTGCACGCCTTTGGAAGAGAAGCAGTTCTGGACTTTATAGAGGAATCAATTCATTTTCCAGCTGATCTACATCTTCTGAGTTCATACCTCTATTGAGTTGAAGTTGTCTTCTCTGCAGTTTCTTTCCTCAATTCAAGTTTATCTTCTGAGGCCATGCACACCCTAATAAGCACTTGGTCAGAACACTTGGTCCTTGGCCCCTATTCTCGCTTTCTGTCATGGCACCTGGTATGGTGTTGGAGTTGTTCAGAGGGTGCCTGGCTACTCTGCAGCTGAGCTCTGGCCTGGCCTCCAGCTTCCAGCCCCAGCCGAGTGCTTGCTGCTGAAAGCAGAACAGAGCAGGGCTTCTCCCTGTCTCCAATCAGACCCCAGGGAGCATCCTGTGTGGATGATGGTGGCTAGATGCCAAATGAAGTGAAATATCTCCTTTTCTCAGGCTGTTAACTTTTTTTCTTGTTTAAGGAAGGGGAGGATAATGACATTTAGCACTTTACAACTCAGCAGTAAAATGAGCAGATGGAAACAGATCCCCTGCACGGTGGGCATGCTTCCATCAGGAAACCCTCCTCTGCTCCATGGGCCAAAGTCCCTGTCGGGCTTGCTGGTGGGCATAGAATCACAGTGGCTCCTCTTCCTCCTGCCCCAATTCCTCCTGCTCCGGGCCTCACACCTGGCCCTACACCTGCCCCTGGTAAACACTTCTTTGCCTCTGCTTGTTCTGTCCCACCTAGCTAGAGCACTTGTCATCCCAGGTCTGGTTGGAACACAATCTCTCTGTTAGATGAGAAAGTGTGTTCATTAGCTTTTCATTGCTGTCACAAAATACCTGTGAAAAACACTTTATCAGAGGAAAGACTGATTTTGGCTCACTGTTTCAGAGGTTTCAATTCATAGTTGGTCAACTGCATTGCTTTACACCTGAGATGTGGCAGAACATCACTGTGGAAAGGCATGGTGAAGGGAAGTTGCTCACCTCATAGTAGTTAGGAAGCAGAGAGAGATAAGAAAGGGCCACCGACAGGACACAGTCAGAGGGCATGCCCCCTAGGACTTCTGTCCTTCAGCTAAGCCCCACCTCTAGTCTTCTCCCAATAGTCCATTCGGCTCTGAATCTCTCAATGGGCTCATCCATGGTGAGGTCAGAGCCCTCGTAATCCAATCACTTCCCCAAAGCCCCACTTCCGGACCTTGGTGCTGTGGAGACCTGGTCTTCCACACCTGAGCCTTTGGGGACATTCTAGATCTAAACCATGACAGGGATGAGGAAGAGGGAGGTGATCCTGATGACAGAGTAGGAAACAGACTTCTGTAGAAGTATGGGGAAATTCCAGCTGTCCACAAAAGGACAATTGAACTAGGCAGGGTTGGTCTCCCGGGGAGGTCATAGAGAATCATTGCTGTCATCACCATCAAAACAATTTGCTGAAAACATGCCATGGCCAGGCAGTGAGCATGTGCTCCTGTGCCTCAGCCCCTGCAATGCTCACAAGCCCATGATGCCCATCAGCATCATACACACACACACACACACACACACACACACACACACACACACACACACTCAGAGAGTTTTAATTAGCTTTCCTGAGGTCCCTTCACTCTGCACAGAATGGCAGGCAAGCTAAAGAGTACTAATGAATGGCTTTTTAACTCTGGGGGCTTTAGATTACTTTCTCTTCTAGCACATATGTTGCTCTGCAAACTGAACACATAAAATTCAGATGGATTTTTCTGTTTCTGTTTTCGAGCCAGTCAATAGCTCTGTGGTGAGGCTTGTTCTCTTTGGGCATGTAAGTTGTGGCATTAAACTGCAGTTCCTCTTTGGGTTTTGTTACCCACAAAAGAAAGAAAGAAAGAAAACAGGCACAAGAACTCCTACTGTGGTAGATGGAGCTCTATGGTCTCAACTGCCCAGCACCCCTCCCTGCTAGGAACACTGCACCCCCCTATTTGGGTGGGCTTCTAATTGCTCCTTCCCTCACTGTAAGTGGTGATGAAGACTGTCAATCATAATATCCTTGATCACAAAAGCAAACATGTGACTCAAT